TGTGCTCTTCCGATCGACAAATATCTGTTATATAAAATAAGAAACGATTTATACAGAAAAAAATTATACGTAAATATTAAATTTAAATGCTAAAAGTTTTAAATTTACAATTACTGTGATATAAAATTGTCTGTACCTGAAAAAGCTAAAATAACATATAGGCTGTAGATACGTTGGCATTTCTTCTAATTTTACATAAAATCCAGCGAATAGCATTAATGGTATACTCATTGCCGGAACTAAAAATATACCTAACTGGAAGAAATTATATTTAATTTCATTATTATCTTTTCATATTAAATAAAAATGGAATTAAAATTTGTATGGTATAATGTGATCAATTAATTAAAAAAATTTATTGTTATAAGTAAATAGTTTAATAATTTATTATGTAAATTATGTATTATGTATTATGTAATACCTCAATGTCAACAGCTGTGCCTACAAGTATTCCGACTGCTTGTGCAAGAAGCGTAATTAACATGCAAATGCCCCACGCCTGTAGAATTCTATTATATTCCATTGGCTGTCCTGTCATGTAATATGATATAAACAGAAAGGATGAAGCGCAAAGTATCTAGAAATTAAATGAACATATAATTGACTTAAAAACAATGACAATATATTTAATTACAGTTTGATATTTATCCAGAATTTTATCTCTGAAAGGAATAATTAGTAACAAAGTTGTATAACGCTAAATAAAGTCATACTTGCATCAGGAGATCCGTTAATACTTTTACGCTGTAGTAGGATTTCAAAGAGTACCAATTATTTAAATGTTCTTGCAGGAATACTGCCGCTTCCGTGGGAACTAGAATGAGATATATTTAATATATATTATCACAAATTATGTATATGTATTATACAATTATTTATAAAATTTATCAAACGCATTTATCATAATTAGCATAAATGTAGCAGGGTGAAAATCTTGTCAAAGAGATTTTATCAGTTGTTTAGAAATAAAAAGGGATCATAATAACATATAATTTAATTTCATTTGCAAGTAAAATAACAAATAATGCATTTATACGTAAAATTAAATTTACACATATCACTTACCTATTAGCACTGCCATTATGGAATTTGCAAGATATAGAGTAACCTGCAAAATAAATAAGAGAGCAATGTTGCTCACTATTTTTTCCGCGACATCGCCAAAATTATAATAAACCTGCCCTAATAACAGAGCGACTACGATGTGCGTCGCTAATCTTAGTTTCGTAAAGGTCTGAAAGATTAACCAAAATGATATCATTTTTATTTTCCAATCAAACCATTTATTAGTATTACATTCTATTCTACTTTTAAAAGATTTTACTCACATAGATCGGAAGAGCACACGTC